ACTCCTCACAGACATACTTGAACTAAAATGTCACCCTCTCAGACTTTCCCTGTTTCTATTTTCTTCGTAGAATTAATAATGATCTGTATTTATTTCACCGTCTATGTAGTTTGTACTTATTGCTTATTTGTCAGTATCACCCACTAAAATGCAAACTTCTAGAAGCCAGAGTCTTATTTGCCTCACTCAACATTGCTTCAATAGCTAGCAGCATTAGTCATTGATTAGGGGAGCAAGTGCTTCAACTAGGAGACCATTATAGTCATTTGGTCTGGTCTCAATCTAAGCACCATCCAAATTATTCAATTTGCATAGTATTAATTGCCCCAACCCCTTCTGCTCTGGCTCTCCAGTTGTGGAAAAAAGACCCTGAGGAGCAGGGAGTGATTTTCAGTGCCTCTGGACTCAGCATAACCCCTCTGCAGTCACAACACTTTTCTGTTTTCTTCACTGCCTGTGGATTGAGTGAAAAGTGATTTTCAAGCAGCCTGTAATTAGACAAGAAGAATAAGTTCCAGTGTTCTATTGCACAGTAGGGTGACTAAGGTTAGCAATGTTGTATTGAATATTTCAAAATAGCTAGAAGAGAGGATTTTGAATGTTTTCACTCCAAAAGAAATGATAAATGCTACAGGTACTATATATGCTAATTACCCTGATTTGATGATTATGCATTGCATACATGTGTCAAAGCATCATATTGTGCCTCCAGATGTGTACAATTAATATGTCTATTAAAATATTAAAATTTAAAGAATTGACTGTCTCTTTCGAGAATCAGAAAATCTAAAAGGAATAGAATACTCAGCACCAACCAATCATTGTTATAATTTCTATTCTGTTATTCCAGCAATTATTTTGATCAGATCATTCTATCATAAATGTCAACTTGTAGATTCACTCAAATTATTTTAAAAACTAGTTTTAGAATTTTTCACATTTTTCTTATGTACAAGTTTTATGGAAATGAGAATGATCTGCCTGTACTTAAAAAACATGATATAGCACAAAAATCCGAGAAGAACTTATATATATCCCCCAAAAGTAACTACATATGGGGCTCCTCAGAGAGCAAGACAATCTGGAAATAACTTTTTGGTAAGAGAAATGTTCTCAAGATGGAAATTTTAAAGTAGAAGATGACAGACATAAACATCTAAATAAATGATTTAAATTTCTCTCATTATTGGTCATCTTTGAATAAAATCACTTAGTTGATTTTTATATATTCCTAATTTCATTTCATAGTTGAACTTCAAAAAGCTTACTTAATACTGTTAGCTGAAACTCAAATGCATATTTTCACAACTTTTTCAGTGACCTAAATCAGATGTGCTTAGTGGTTTTCTTCTTTGAGACTTTCAAATTAATCTCTATGTTGTACATTGTACAAATCCCCATTAACAGAATAACATGAAATAGTACAGCTGTGGGCTGGGGATGTAGCTCAAGCGGTAACACACTTGCCTGGCATGCGTGGGGTGCTGGGTCGATCCTCAACACCACATAAAATAAAATAAAGATGTTGTGTCCACAGAAAACTGAAAAATAAATATTAAAAAATTCTCTCTCTCTCTCTCTCTCTTTAAAAAAATAGTATATCTGTGCTCTTTCTTCCTTCTTATTTATATTTTTTAGACTGCAAGTGAATTCATTTTTACTATTAAAAAAAAACACCTTATAACTTTTTTGCCTCTGTTCAGTTAACATAAGAAGAAACTGTCTTATTCTTTTTGCCAACTTCTCTATGCCTATCACATAAAATAGTAAATAGACAAATTATCTGCAACTGATTTCATCTGCTCTAAGTATGGTGGGCATAAAACTGTTCTATAATGAAAGACTGGATCGTGTTGTCTCTTGAAATGTATATTTCAGAATTGATCAGGAATTATTTCCTTTAGCATAATCAATGTAGAGAATCCAGTCTCAGTAAATCTGGAAAAAGAATGGAGGAGAAAGTACAGAAATGGAGTCACAAATTCCTATATAGACTTAGCTGTGAGATGAACTTGCAGCTAGAAACAGGCATTCAGTTTGAATTAATTTCTCCTATGTGAGATTTTTGCCAGGCTCCCTTCTAAGTTTGAGTCATTGACAGATTTTAGGAATTAGTTATAACAACCTCCTTATAACATATTTTAACAGGGATGAACAGTCACTGGGATACCACATTTATAACCCACAATAAAGTGAAGATATAATTTTATAGATGGAAATTCTCCATATGACTTTCAGATCAATCCTCTGTTCCTTCATGTTTTAGCTCATCAGAAAATTTATGGCATCATTATAATGGCAGTATGAAACAGCCATCACTGTAGCAATGTGAACATGATGCCTTCATGGGAGTGTCTGTATAAGAGTCTCTGCCCTTTTTCACCCTGTCAGGGACTCTGTCCACAGACTGCCATTCACTATCAAATCAAAGGCTGCTGCATGCCAACCTACAAAGATCATCTGCAATCCACACATGGTAGCATTCAGCAGATGGGGTTTAGCCTATGTCTGAACTGAATTTACCTGGAGAAATTAAGGTAGGTTATTATGTTGTACCTTTTAATGTGTTTGCACAATCTGAGGCTCAAGCAGGCAACACATTCTGAGTCTCACATTCAAAAAAATAAAATCAACAACAACAACAACAAAAAAAAAAAACCAGGAAATCATGCACTCAAAAAATCTGCACAGATGTTTTCTGGAACTTTTCTAAGATGCTTGTGTTAGAGCAGCTGCACATAGAAGAGAGGAGAGAGTTATGCATGTGGGGTGATCCCCAAACTCCCTCTGGAACCATTGAAGGTGTACTTCCCCTACAAATTCTCTTCAAAATGGTACTTCTTGGAGATAAAAAACTAAAATAATAAAAATATTTCTATAGAAAAATACACACATATTTGTATTCAGATCTATATTAATATCTATGTATATATAATCATTCCCCAGTATGCATGAGAGAATGGTTCCAGGACCCCCAGGGATACCAAAATCTACTCAAATTCCTTATATTAAATGAGATAGTATTTGCATATAACCTATGCATATCCTTCCATATATTTTAGTCATCTCTAAATTACTGATTATACTCGATACGATGTAAATAATTGTTATTCTATATTGTTTAGGGAATAATGACTAGAAGTAAAAGTCTGTAAATGTTCAGTACAGTTGTTTTGTTTTGTTTTTCATATTTTCCATCAGCATCTAGTTAAATACACGGGATGCAGAGACCATGGATACTGAGGACCAAATATACTTATATATAATATCTGAGAGGAAAAGAGGCTTTGAGAAGGGCAAGGAAATTGGACCTTTAACACAGAATCCCTGGGGAAGCTTGAGAGGAATAAATCAAATGCATAATTCGCCAGTTTGACAGTTGGCCAAAGGCCATCCCTATCTCCGTCAGTCTTTTAAATTAAATAAATGCACATAAAACTCAAAAGCAGATTAATTTGAAGTTACTTAGTTTTTGAAATCAAATGATTTATGATACTGTATATTTGGTCATTTTAATTTGCAAAAGATTAACAGTAGGTACCCCCCCACCACCAAAAAAAAAAAAAAAACAGGGCAAATAGAACATACAATCATTCTGTTGATCTGTTTTAGTTAACTTCAAAATCAGAATTACATTCTTCCAAGATGAAACTTTTCTGTTAAATGGACGTTTCTTCATTCTCTAGCTGCTACTGGAAACAGCAATACCAAAAAGAATGCTGTATTTCCATTTCATTTTCACACATGCCACATAGTGGCTGGGAAACTAAAAGAAATAGAACTGAAAATATAACAACTTCTAGATCAATAAATATGAATGGAAATGTACGAAATGTTAGTAAGACTGCACCCTCTAAGTGCTGAGACTTTGTTTTAGGTTTCATTGCTAATATTCAACTTTTCAGTATAAGACAACAGTAGCAAGTAAAGAAAACCTATATCTCCCTAAAATATGCCTCTTTGACATAAATACTTTTGAGATGTAGGCATATGAGAAGGAGCATTGTGAAAGGGCTATCTTAACTATTCTCTCACCTGTACAAGCTATTAAAAATTCCTGGGAGATAGACCCCTTCCCAGTACCAACACAAGAAAATAACCAGTGACTTCAAATTGATACTGAAATTGATCCATATAAACTACCTGAAATAACCCTACTCTTCCACTAGGTTTACACAACATATCTCATACTAATGCCCCAGGAATTTACTACCCCTAACCCAGAACCCTTTGCCTTGTCATTTCTTTACAATGTTTATCATTCTTTGTCTAAAAAAAGTATAAGAGTTTCCTGCTTTGACCATTCCTTTGGATCTTCATCTCTTGTGAATATCCCCCATGTATTTATAAAAAATTAATAAAGCTTACATATTTTTTATCCACTAATCTGGCTTGTGTTAATTTGATTCCTAGACCCAGTGGAATATCCAAATTAAGGACTAAGAGGGGCAGAGATGTCTATAGCCACTCCTACACAAGTAGGCATTCATTTTACATGAAACGAGCACACTAGTTTAAAGGCATAAATGATTCATCTGCTGAAGAGATACCTCCCAGATCATATCTCCTACTGAAAATGGAAAGGGAAAAGAAAGCAAGGAGATTTCAAAAATTGTCCATTTCCTTCTGACTCTAGTGGAACATGCATACATATATTCACATACACATGCACATGAGTCTTCCATTAACAGCCACATTCAAATATAAAGATGACTAAGTAGTTACGAAATGATTTTTGAATAAAACTCCACCATTTTGAAATTCCCTGCTTCTTTTTGGCTGCCAAGTTGCGACTGCCTGTTGAGTCATTGTGCAACAAAAATGGTCTTCTGAGCCCCAGGTGCTGTCTCTCTACACAAGCTGCCAATCACCCGGGCTCTCCACATGGCAACAGCAGGTCTGAAGCTAAAGGGCAAAGACACCAGCGATTACCAAAGCAGAGAATGGGCCAGAAATAGGAAACACAAACAAAGCAAAGTCCAAAGGTGAGGGCTTACAACCTGGAAGTCAGCAGGTGTTGGTATTTAGGAGAAAGTCCCTTTCCCTAGACTTCAGTAAACTAAACAGGAAAGGTTTTGAATAAAACGTGCCTGATAGATCGACGAGGGGCAGAATTGAGATGAAGCTATAATTGTAGAACCAAATACCCCAGAATTGCTACTGCATTTCTTTGGAAAATCTTATCTATCCTCCTTTAAAGTAAAGGGTACAGTAATTTCCAAATATGGCCAACTGCTAATATTTTAGTTCCTTTTGCTCAGTTCACTAAGAAGTGAGTTCTCTACTGACATCTCCTGAAGATGCACATCCTGATGGGAAGACATCTGTTAAAGGTCAGTGCCTACAGCCTCCTCCAGGGAAGAGCAGATCTAGAGAGAGAAAAATCTGAAATCAGGAAGCTGCTGCTCCATATGGGAACTGGTCATTCCAAAAAAGACAGCAGAGTACAGGGGTTAAAATTTGGTGCTCTGGACTCATGCAGACTCAAGTTTCAATTCCAGACCCAGGACTAACTCCCTTGCCTGCAGAGAGAGAGAAAAATAATAATACCTTTCCCTAAACAAATCTAGACCTTAACGTTTACACAAAGGATGTTGGTGGTTCTTATTCAAAGTACTAAAAATTTTCTTTTTTTTTTAATTCTGATTTTTTATACATGATGGCTGAATGCAATTCATTTCATATTATACTACAGAGCACAAATTTTCAAGACACTGGTTGTACACAAAATATTTTCACACCATTTGTGTCTTACACATGTATTTAGGGTAAGGATGTCTAACTCATTCCACCATCATTCCTACCCTCTTGCCCTCTCCTGTCCTCTCCCTCCCCTTTGCTCTATTTAAAGTTCCTCTGTTCCTCCCATGCCCCACGCCCCACACATAATCGCCATTATGCATCTTCACCCTCATATCAAAGAAAACATTTGGCCTTTGATTTGGGGGAATTGGCTTGCTTCACTTAGCATTATATTCTCCAACTCCATCCATTTACCTGCAAATGCCAAGATTTTATTATCTTTTAATGCTGAGTAATGTTCCATTGTGTATATATACCAAAGTTTCCCTATCCATTCATCTACTGAAGGGCATCTAGGTTGGTTCCATAATTTAGCTATTGTGAATTGTGCTGCCATAAACATTGATATGGCTGTGTCCCTGTAGTATGCTGTTTTTAAGTCCTTTGGGTATAGACCAAGCAGTGAAATAGCTGGGTCAAAATGGTGATTCCATTCCCAGCTTTCCAAGGAATCTCCATACTGCTTTCCAGTTTGGCTGCACCAATTTGCAGTCCCACCAGCAATGTATAAGTGTGCCTTTTCCCCCACATCTGCACCAACACTTACTGTTGTTTGAGTTCTTAATAGCTGCCTTTCTGACTGGAGTGAGATGAAATCTTAGAGTCGTTTGGATTTGCATTTCTCTAATTGCTAGAGATGTTGAACATTTTTTCATATATTTGTTGATTGATTGCATCACCTTCTGAGAAGTGTCTGTTCGGTTCCTTCGCCCATTTATTGATTGGGTTATTTGGGGTTTTTTGGTGTTAAGGTTTTTGAGTGTTTTATATATCCTAGAGATTAGTTCCCTATCTGATGTGCTTGTAGTAAAGATTTGCTCCCACTCTGTAGGCTCTCTATCCACCTCACTGATGGTTTATTTTGCTGAGAAGAAGCTTTTCAGCTTAAATCCATCCCATTTATTGATTTTGGGTTTTAATTCTTGAGCTACAAGGAGTTTTATTAAGAAATTTGGGGCCTAATCTGACATGATGGAGATTTGGGCCTACTTTTTCTTCTATTAGGTTCTAGCATTTTTTTACCTGGGAAAATACTCGAGTATTTCTTGCGTGTTTCAGAAAATGATTCAGAACAAGGAAGTATAGTCTGGAACATATGATCCGTAATATGATCAGATTTTGATTTGAAAATCTATTTGCATTTTTAAGGGAACACTTAAATACAAAGTTCTGCACACAATGAAAACTTTTAATAAAATCTGTCATGGAACTGAAAGTAATAGCTAAAGACATGATGGCGTAGAGTCAATTTTTTATAGATATCTCCAAGGAAGTTTTCACAAATAACCTCTACTCCTACAGGAGTTAAAAACTCTCAATATTTTTCAGGTGGAAAATAAAGAATGTTTTAAATTCACAACAGTATAATTTATTTCTAGAGGTATTGTAGGTACTCTATGGCATTTCTCTTATTGTCTTTCCTGTTTCTATTTTCTTGTAATTCCATATATTACAAAAGCCACACGCATTGGGTAACCATGGTATCTGCATATTTCCAGTTGAGACTTTCTTACAACTCAGCCATTTATAGTCACACAAATAGTTTCTTCTTGCAATTGAAAAAATTACTTTTGTGTATTTCCTCAGGAAAATATATTGTTCTTTTGGTAAGCTGCAAAAGAAATGGAAATTAGATTGCTGAATGGCAATATAGTTGACCACTTTAAGAGTTTAGTAATAGACTGATTTATGAGTTATACTTTCCATATATTACCAATATGCTGTGAAAATTTTTGAAAGTACTTTGCTACCTTGCTAACTTCACCTTTCAAAAAATTGGCAGGAACATACATCAAGTACATCTATATTCAAATGGATTATATTAATATTATATACAAATTTTCTCTACTTCTAAGCATGAGGATATATTCCAAATATGCACACCTCACAAACTTGCTACTAATCTATAGGTTTTAGAACAATGTTTGATTGCTTTACAATACTAAACAAACACATATTGTGTATAATGTAAGTGAAAAATAGCAAAACTTGATAGTCTAAAACTATAGAGCATTTAAAAAGATGTTACTAATTGCCTACCTGTGCTGGTGCAGTTAAAATCTTGTTGAGAAAAATAGAGCACATCATATAAAAATGATATTGCAAAAGTCTCTGTGTGTGCGTTAGTGGGTGCCTGTATAAAATGAATAAATTAGTGCCCCAGATTCAACTTTGGAGAATACAGGAGGCAGAATTCTAAGATGCCCCATTCCAGGATTTATTCCACAAGGATGGGATTTTGAATAGAATGAGATATCCTGCACATGACTATGATACCTTGCATACATAAAAATTAACACATACTTTAATCAAACTACTTAATCAAAGAGATTTTTTTCTGGGTAGTCCTGATAGAATCCCAGGAAATTTTAATATAAGAAGAGAGTTTTCTCTACTTCTGGCAGAAGGGGCAGTCAGAGAGACTCAGAGCTTAAGAAGGATTTGGTGGGCCTTGACTGGCTTTCAAGATAAAGGGAAAACTACCAGGACCATAGCAAGGCCTGCAGCAGATAAGAATCACCCTCAACACTAGCCAGGAAGGGAGCAGGAGTCTCTGTAGAACTGCAGAAACTGACGCCTGCCAAAAACCTGAACCAACCTGGAGGCAGATGCCTCCCCAGGGCTTCCAGGTAGCAGCCCAGGCACAGACACCCTAATAAGAGCCTGCCAGACTTCAGGTCCACAGAGCTCTGAGCAAACAAATGAGCTTTGTAATGAGCCGCTATATTTGTTATGCTACGATAGAAAGTTAGTCCAAAGGGGTATTTTCTGTAGTTTCAAATTATGAAATGCCCAGCAATATAGCAATAACAATCTGTGTTTTAATCTTGTGGTAATGTCAGATCACCTGAAATGATATTATTATTATCATTATAACATGGTAACACTCAGGACGTAAAAGCATAATAAAAAGTGACCACATAACAATTAAGATAATAACCATGAATAGCGAGAGGAACAAGTGTCAGTAGAAACAGTTCTGAATGAGGACTTAGGGAACCAGGTTTCCATCCTGGCTATCCTGCTCAGTGGTCAATACATAGCCCATCTGGGCTTCAGTTCTCTACAAAATGAGTTAATTGTTCTAAATTGTTTCTAATAATTCATAAAGACAAAACCAAGTCTCAGTGCTCTAAAAGAACCTGAGCCAGAACCCTCTGCCTCTGTCTCACCAAACTCAGCTCATCTAATCGCCAAACAGAAAGCAAACTCTAAGGAGCGAGGGCACTTTAACATCCCCATCCTCCTGGGGAGATAAAAGGAGATTGTTGCCTAACCCCTGATATGTGCCTATTCAAAACTTGCTCTGCTCAATAGAAACTTTCTCTTATTTCTTTAATAAGAGGTAAAAGATTTCTGACTTTTCCTGGTTTGAAATGTCAATTATCAGTTATTATTGTGCTATATTTGTGAAACTTTACTACTTAAAGCACTCTCCCTTGTCCTCCCTCCCTAGCCATATCTTCTAGGACCAAAAGGCTCCACCCTGGAGCTGGAGAAAGTTATTCTCCAAGGCAGAGAGAAAGTAAGGACTCAGGGCCCAGCTTACTTGCATGTGATGCCTAGCTTCTCCTCTGAACAAGTCTATTGTCGCCCAACTTTGTAGTACCTCTGTGTCCCCAGGGAATTGTAATAGCACAGCAAGGACTGTTAAAAGATTAAAATTTATGCAAAGCATTTACAAGAATTTGCAGAAGTGTTCAATAAGCTGTTCTTCTTATTGTTACAGGCTGTTTTGCCCTCATTCTGTAAACTGTGTATTTGTGCATACGTGTGTGTGCGCGCGCGGGTCTCACTGTGTATGCCTATGTTTATTTGGCAAGTAATTAACATCAGTATTTAATCATGTAATCTGCCCTCCTCCCCTGATACAGAAGGTGATAGACGACATTTTCTCTTTCACTGGGATGGTTCACAGCACCCAGCAGACTTAGGGCTCACTAAGAGGTCATAAGTGCTCTTTAAATGGTGAATGACACATGCCCCACCCTGTGGTTGTATTTCTTTGGTTCTTACACATTTTTTTTCTTCCTTTCCCCTTTTGAAAAAAAAAAAAATCTGCACAGAGTATGCTTACAGTATTTGAAGCTAGCAATTAAGATAAATCCACACAGGTAGAATATTTCCCTTTTCTTTGCCAGAATGCTGTTAATCCCAGAAGAATAAAGTTAGCCAGAAATGAGTCTGAAGATCCTATAACCCCAGACGCTGTGTGAAGGAGAACTGCTGTCCACACTTAGCAATTCAGGGTTTGCCTCTTGGGGCACCTGCTGGACCCGGGCCTTAAGGAAAAAATGAATCTGACCCAAAAATGGAGAGAAAATACAGTAAGTCAGATCCTTTTTTGTTTGTTTTTTCCCACTTGAGCCATGAGGGAAGTATTTATTACCAAAAATTGTTTTGGTAACATTGCTTTGAATGTAGCATTTTCACATTTCTACTGAAAATGGTATTCTTGACCTGATCATTTTATGTTACACCATAGAAATTGGTACTTTGGTTCATACAGGCTGCTATGGCTCTGCTGAATAGAAATAGTATTTTTCTTTCTTTCTTCTTTTATTTATTTTTGCTTCTTTGTCTCTTTTTGTGATGTTGGAAATCAAACCCAGGGCCTTACAGATGGTAGGCAAGTGCTCTACCACTGAGCTACATCTCAGCCCCAGAAATAGTATATTCTAAAACAAACTATCACACACAACAATAAAGAGTATAAATATAATTGCCAACATTAAAAAAGTCAAATGAAAAGTGGTGATTAGAAGCTCCTTCTACCTTATTATGTCTTTCCGATACATATAAATTTTGCTTTTCTCATAGTGGACTCAGCATTATTAAAATCAGATCTGGAAGCCTGTGCAGTGGCCCATGCCTGTAATTCCAGCAGCTCCAGAGGTGGAGACAGAGGATCTTGAGTTCAAAGCCAGCCTCAGCAAAAGCGAGGAGCTAAGCAACTTGGTGAGATCCTGTCTCTAAGTAAAATACAAAATAGGGCTGGGGATGTGGCTCAGTGGTTGAGTGTCCCTGATTCAATCCCTAGTATCCTCCTCCCCCAAAAATCAGATTTGACCCAGGAAATAAAAGGGCTCTAGAGTTACTAGTTGGAAAGTCACAGCTGAGGGATTGTTTCAAACCCAAATCTGCAGTCAGTCAAGATAAAGCAGTCATACACACACACACACACACACACACACACACACCACACAGACTAGGATTTGAACTCAGGGGCACTAGACCACTGAGCCACACTCCCAGCCCTATATTGTATTTTATTTAGAGACAGGTCTCACTGAGTTGGTTAGTGCCTCACTATTGCTGAGGCTGGCTTTGAACTCATGATCCTCCTGCCTCAGCCTCCCGATCAGCTGGGATTACAGGCGTGCACCACCATGCCCAGCTCATTTATATTTGATTATCATCATTATATCCATTAACTTTTGTTTAATCAATAAGACTATTTAAATCATAATCCACTTGAATCAAAGTGTGAAATATTATATATCAAGAAATTTGTAATGTTTTGAACAACCAACAATAAAAAATTAAAAAAAAAAAACAGATATGTTTAGGACCTCATCATACTGAGCCATGTATTACAGTTTTAGCGCATTGGAAAAGGTTTTGGCAATCTTCCTACATGTAGCAACCTCTCTAAGATTGAAGGCCTGGGTTAAAAAGTAAGTGGGGCTGGGGTTGTGACTCAGCGGTGGAATGCTCATGTAACATGTGCAGGGCCCTGGGTTTGATCCCTGCTGAGAGCCACGGCCGAGTCTGTATGGCCCCTGGCATTTTGCCAACAGTATTGATTGACAGGCGAGGCATTACTATCCGCCTCTGCCGCAACTTTTGAGTTCTCGCACTATTTTGGAGTTCTCATGGGGATTTCCGGGGATTCCCCGAGAGTTCCCATTGGTTGGGGAAGTGCAGGAGGAGGGATTTCCGGGAGAGATATTTCCGGCTGGGGGTTCCTGGACAAGCCTCCTGGCGCGTTCGGGAGGATTCCCCGGGAGCTGTGTGAAGTGTTTTCCTGCAGTTTAAAAATAAAGTTTGTTCCTGCTTCAGTGGCTCGTGATTTGTGCCCAGCCAGACTGCGGCAGATCCCCAGCATCACATAAAAATGGATAAATAAGATAAAGATATTAGGTCCAACTACAACTAAAAAATAAATATTTTTTAAAACGTGAAAAAAAAATAAAGTTTAATGAATAATTAAATAATGGGTTTAAATTATTTAATTCTTTAAGTAATTATCATGAAAAGTTGCTTTCCATGTTTAAGACAACCTTGAATTCTGGGAGATATAAAGATAATAAAATATAGTCAATAGAAAGCTGAAAAATTACCAAAGGTACCCAAGAATGCAGCTACACGGTAGAAAAAGAACATTTCCTTTGGTTAGATACACAAGTTCCAGGTTACTGTGCTTACATAATTTGCTTAACTTCTGTTTCCAGCGATAAAGCCTGCTCTATCAGAAATTGTTAGAATTTTTAGAAAAGACAAAACAAGTTAAGGATCGTGTATCCATAGGGGGAAAAAATGACATGTGATGTTAAAATATTACTCTCATAAATTACGTAGCACCTATGTGACTTCTAAACACCATCCCCATCAAATATTTATAAACACAAATATTAGATTAATCCTAAAGCTAATTCCAAGAAGCCAAATCACACTAACTCAGTCATTTTACAACCACCTGTATGGACTCCTTAGAGAGTCACTTAAAGTGAAAATCAGTATAAAATATAAAAACAATAATTTCTTTTTTTTTAATTTTTATTGTTGGTTGTTCAAAACATTACATAGTTCTTGATATATCATATTTCACACTTTGATTCAAGTGGGTTATGAACTCCCATTTTTACCCCGTATACAGATTGCAGGATCACATCGGTTACACATCCATTGATTTACATATTGCCATACTAGTGTCTGTTGTATTCTGCTGCCTGAGGATAGGAAAGGCAGCACAATAATTTCTGATAGAGAAAAATCTATTTTTTTAGAATGAAAATGTCAGGCTCCAAATTTCATGAAGTGGGTCTGGAAGGATAACAAAAAGAAAAGTAAAAATTCTGATCAGAACATGGTAGCACATGATTAGAATTCCGAAAAGAAAAACAAAGTTGATAAGTTGGAAAGAACAAAGTTGCAAGTTATAGTCACACAAAAGAAAAAAGGGAAAAAATTAAAAAAAAAAAAAACAGCATTGACATAATTTCCTAGCCAAAGCAAAATAATTGCCTCTCTTTAAAATATTTATTGAAAATAGATTTTTTTAATACCCTGAGGGAAGAAATCGTGATCTGGAATTCTATTGCTCTCTTCTTCCCTATAATCAGACTTGCTAAACAACTAATCAAAGGTTTAAAGGTAAAAAACAAAAGGTAAAAAAAAAAAAAGGATTTAAAGGTTTTTCTTTGCATATTCTGTAGTCTTTGAGCTTTCCCAAAATAATGAGCAGATTAGGATTTCATTGTAGTGAGCCAGAAATAAGGTCTTTTACAGCCAAATTTCTGTCATGAAGTTACTTAGCTTTTCATCCTTGTGACCAAAATGCCCGACAAGAACAACTTAGAGAAGAAAAGATTTCTTTGGTCTTATAGTCACAGAAGTTCCAGTTCACGGTCAGCTGGCTCCATTGCTCTGGGCCTAAGGTGAAGCAGAACATCATGCTGCAAGGGCTCAGATCACAGCAGCTGAGAGGCAGAGAGAGACGGGAAGGAGCCAGAGAGAAGATAAATCTCTCCAGTCTATTCAGCCATCAATGAATTAATTCATTGATAAGGTCAAAGCCTCCATGATCCAATCACTTCCCCAAAGCCCTACCTTTGAAAACATGAGACTTCAGGGGACATTTTAGATCCAAACCTTAACAGGAAGCAATACCTCTGAAAACCTAAAAGAAAATTTGATTTTAAATATAGTTTTACTTTTTACACTAAAAATGTGCTAATCACCATCATCAAATTACCTAAATTAATGAGACAATATTTTAAATTTACTTTGGATAATATTTTAAAAAAGAACACTTAAATTGTACTTACTGAACACCAGCCACTCTTCTAATAGTTTCCTCCCTACCCATGTGTCTGTAGCTACCTATCTATGAAAATATGCAATTCAAGATAATCTTCAGTGATTTTTTTATTCTTTCCAGTTCATGGTTATAAAAACTATTGCTCTGGTATATTTAGCAAACTATGCTGTACCTCGATTCATTTTCTGAAACCTCCTTCATTAAATAGGGTATGAAGGTAGCAATAGCCCGCAGTCCATGGTATTGAGATTCCCATTTTGGCTCACCAGCAGAGACCCTTCTCTCTTCACTTTTTTATGTGCATTCTTCACAAAACCACTGTTTCCCTTATCTTCTCTCAATATTTTCCCCAGATGGATAAATACTCTGCTCAGAACCTCCAAACAAACTTTCCAGCTTTCCATCTTCAGTTTTTGCTGGATATCACCAGATAAATGTGTTTTCAGTGATACTGACAAATGTTGAAAGTAGCCCATGCAAAAAAAAAAAAAAAGAAAGAAAAGTAAATATTATAAAAGCCAGATTTTCCTTATGTACCAAAGAGGCAATTTCTATTTTGAGAAATGTCCAGTATAAATACTCAAATCAGTAAACCCAGCAAATATAAATAAAACTTCATGTAAAAGGCAATCACTTTGTCATTATGAACTGCAGAGGCAATTTTGGTTATCAAAAAGTTGAATGGTGTTGGATGCAATGGTGCACACCTGTAATCCCAGTGGCTCAGAAGGCTGAGACAGGAGGATTGCAAGTTTGAGGTCAGCCTGGAAACTTAACAAGACTCTCAGCAACTTAGGGAGACCTTGTCTCAAAATAAAATAAAAATAAATAAATAAATAAATAAATAGAAAATAAAGGGTTGGGGATGTAGCTTAGTGGTAAAGTACCTCTGGGTTCAATGCCCATGACCCCACCATCACCACCAAAAAGAAATTAAATGGTGAGCAATGGCAGAAAGAATAAAAGCTGTTATCATTCAGGCCATGTCCACTAAACAACTTAAGCTTTTTGTCATGGGGTGGCCTTGTGACACATATTTTGAATCTATATTTTCTCACAATAGAGATTAACAAACTTACAAAATCACATTTAATAAGTTCCTCAGAATCAACAAAGCATATCTATTTGAACTAATACATTTGATTTTTATAATAATAATGGCATATTTTCATGAAAAGAATAAATCATGAACCATATCTAAAATCATAAGCTGATTATACATGTAGGAGTTTTAACACACTAAATTTCTTCATGATTTGCTTCCAATGATTCTGGGTAAGTTTG